AAGACAATTTACATACCAAGACTCTCAGAATCCCTTGCCTTGCTGTGTCCATGATTCCTTGATGATTATATATGATCCCTATTTAATTTTAACTAAGGTCCATATTAAAAGATCTGCTTTAAATCAAACTTCAAAATCTCATAAATATCTTGCATTTGCATTTCCTTTTCTGAGAAAGTTTAGTTGAGACTATTAACTTTATTCTAGTGGTATTTTCCCATATCATATGTGATTTAAAAATTTATAAGAAATATATATTTGGTCATTCAGATAAAATATATTTCTCAGATATATTTGGTCTTCATCCACAGTTCCTAAAAATACCTCAGAGCCTTAAGATGAAATGAGTATCTTATTATTAATGATGGTGACTTTTGGACCCCACCCAAGGGCAGGAGACTGACTGCCAGGAGGATCAACCATGTGATTAGAGGGTTGGAACTTTCAGTCCCACCCCTCAACCTCTGGGGAGGGAGAGGGATTGCAGGTTGAATCAGCCAGTTGCCAATGACTTAGTCAATCATGACTATGTAATGAAGTCTCCATTAAAAACCCAAGAAGAAGAACTTTTTGGCCCTTCTTTTATGGAGAGCTTCCATGCTTGGGGAACCAGAATGCTTCCACATGCCACTGAGCAAGGCCCCAGGCTCCAGAAGGGCAGAAGCTCCTTTGTTCTAGGCCCTGCCCTATGTTTCTCTTCATCTGGCTGTTGATGTATCCTTTATCATATCTTTTAATAAACTAGTAAATGAAAGTGTTTCCCTGAGTTCTGCAGGACACTCTAGAAAATTAATAGAACCTAAGGAGGAGGTTGCTGGCACCTCTAACCTGTAACTGGTTTTCAGAAGCGCAAGTAATAGCGTGGGGCTTGTGACTAGCATCTTAAGTGGAATTATGGAAGGCAGTTTTGTAGGACTGAATCCTTAACCTGTGGACTCTGATGCTATTTCTGGGTAGACAGTATCAGAATTGAGTTGAATTCATGGACATTCTGCTGGTGTCTGAGAATTGTTTGGTATTGTATGTGGGGGGACACCCCCAAGTCTGAATTGGGCTGGGAACCCTAAAAGATCATGGGAAGAATAAACTCAGGTTTATTATCAACAGGTTGTTTTGATAATTTTTTTGAGGAGCCAAAGGAAAGTTACCTCTTACTTAGAAAAACATTACCAAAGTTAAGTCCTCCTTCGACAATTCTAGATGAACTCCAAGTTCTAAATCTTAAAAGTTAAGTATAACTAAAAAAAAAAAAAAGTTAAGTATAACTTTTTTCCTTTCTCTAGGATCTATTGATGTTTTGTTTTGACAAATTTTTATATATGCTAAAAAAGAAGTTGATTACAGGCATAACTTGTTTTATTGAATGTCATTCTTTTGTGCTTTGCAGATACTGTGTGTTTTTTTTTAAAACAAATTGAAAGTATATAGCAACTCTGCATTGAGCAAGTCTATTGGCACCATTTTTCCAACAGCATTGCTCAATTCATGTCTCTGTGTTACATTTGGTAATTATTTCAATATTTCAAACTTTTTCATCATTATTATATGATTTTATTTGTTATATTATATATATTTGTTTATTATATATTTGTTATGGTGATCTGTGGTGATTACAACTTGCTGAAAGCTTAGAGGACAGTTAGCATTTTTTTTTTAGCAATAAAGTACTTTTTAATTAAAGTATATACATTGTTTTTTAGACATAAAGCTATTGCACACTTACTAGTCTACAGTATAGTATAAACATAACTTTTATATGCACTGGGAAATTTAAAAAATTGATTCACTTTATTGTGGTAGTTTGGGACCAAACCTGAAATATCTCTGAGGTATGCTTGTATAATTTTCTTTACCGTGGCTACATTTTGGAAATGTTTTCCTTGAAAATAGGTAATTAAGTATATAAATGAAAAAATGATTAAAGTACAAGGGATAGGATGGGTATACAAGAAGAATTAGTTATAATTACCTTGCCTAGGGGGATTTCAGAAAACACGTCACGGAGGAGCTCACACTTGAACTGAGTCTTGAAGGATAACTAAGAATTTTCTAGCTCAACATCACTCATCATCAGGGAAATACAAATCAAAACTACTATGAAATATCACTTCACACCTGTTAGAATGGTTAAAATTAACAACACAAGAAACAACAGTGAGGATACGGAGACCGGGAAACCCTCTTTCACTGTTGGTGGGAATACAAACTGGTGCAGCCACTCTGGAAAACAGTATGGAGGTTCCTCAAAAAGTTAAAAATAGAACTACCCTATGACCCAGTAATTGCCCTACTAGGTATTTAATCAAAGGATACAAGAATACTGATTCAAAGGGACACATGCACCCTGATGTTTATAGCATTATCTACAATAGCCAAATTATGGAAAGAGCCCAAATGTCCATCAACTGATGAATGGATAAAGAATATGTGGTATACGTATACAATGGACTATTACTCAGACACCAAAAAAGAATGAAATCTTGCCTCTGCAATGACATGGATGGAGCTAAAGTGTATTATGCTAAGTGAAACAAGTTAGAGAAAGACTGTTATCATATGATCTCACTCATATGTGGAATTTAAGAAACAAAACAGATGAACACAGGGGAAGGAGGGGGGAGTGAGGGAGGCAAGCCATAAGAAACTCTTAAGTAGAGAGAACAAACTGAGGGTTGATGGAGGGGAGTTTGGTGAGGTATAGCTTAAATGGGTGATGGATATTAAGGAGGGCACTTGTTGTGATGAGCACTGGGTGTTATATGTAAGTGATAAATCACTAAATTCTACTCCTGGAACCAATATTACCCTATATGTTAACTAACTAGAAATTAAATAAGAACTTGAAACAAACATACAAACAAACAAAAATGGTGTATGTACATATACATGTATAAAATAGATATGCACAGAAAAAAAGATCTGTGGCAGCACAGACCAAGCTGAAAATAGTTGTTGTCTATAGTGGAAAGAGTGATATTGTGGGATGAGCAGATAAAGAGGAAATTTACACTTAGTCTCTATATTTCTGTATTATTTGGCTCTTCTATAAGAATTTGTTTATGCATCATTATAAAATAAAACATGTTTGAAAAGGAAAAAAAAAGAATTTTCTAGGAAAACAAGGGGAATGGATAATTCATGCAGTGGGGGAAAGGGTCCAAAAGAATAAAGGCAGAACATAACACTGAGAGAATGAGGAACTGTTAATAGGATCTACATGACTGCAACATTAATAGTTCATGGCAAAGGAAGAAACTAAGGGTGATTAAAGTAGACTAAATAAGCAATGAGATATTGAAGTTAAGAAGTTCAGAGTTAGAACAGCTCATGGTGATGAAAGAATCCTGGGTATGGCTAGTGGCATGAGTATGAGTTACTAAAGTGGGGTTGAGAGGAAAGACCTTAAACTTACAGAGAGGCTACGAAGTTGGATGGGCTCTCTACATGGATCTAAATGGCTATACGGACCATGTACGTGACTATTTCACAGTAAGAAAACATGATCAGGGAAACCTGGACAACTCTGATGTCCATCCAAAGTGGTTAATAGCCTACAAGCCAGTAAGAACATAACTGAAATAAAAGACAGTTCTAATAACAAAGAGATCCATGATAAAGGTGTAAGAGAATACAAAGAAATCTGTTGTCAGTAAGAAATTATTTTTGTTCCTAATCATCATAATCACTATCAATGATCCATCATCATCTCAGGATCAACAATAAATGGAAATCATACACTAATCATCCCAAAATGTCATTTTTAAAGTTCACTTATCTGTATTGTTTTATTTTAGTGAATATTCTATCATTACTCCCCTGACACAGGTTTCTCAACCTTAGGTCTTAGTAAGGGATTACAGAACGTTACGTCTCTTGTATTGAAGAGCCTCCCTCAGATTCACATGTCTGTCAAATATTGTGGAAACCTACAGTAGTATAGTTAAACATGTTGTTTGAATTTATTTTTATACAACTCTAACATAAACGTCCTGGGCAAACAATTGCAGTGTGCTTGCCTACCAACTCAAGGGTTTCAAGCTAACATAACAGATTCACAACACAGAAATAGAAATTCTTACAGTAAAGAAAAGAAAATAAAACAGAAATTTTTAACTATTTGAAGTTCTCCAATTACTTTTGTTATTGTTAAACAATACAGACATTCTATTGGAAATATAAATCATTCTGTTTACTAAAATTCTCAGTGGTATAAGTATCCAATAGACCCATTTAGTTATGGTCCACCTGTACTTCTCTTGATAAAGATCAGGGAGAAGACAGGGTGATATCATTAATTTTAAGTGACAGAAAACAATACTAAATTATTAGCATTTATATAATACTTTTAGGATCCTAAAACTTTTAAGGCACAACTTTCAATGTTATATCATTTCAAGGATATAGGTAAGGAAAAGCTATTTATATTTCCTTTTTATAGGATAGTAAAATGAGTAATACACAAAGTTAGATGACTTCAAGTTAATGTTATTAGTGATCAAACAAAAAAACAAAGGTTTCTTTATCCTTGGTTCATGGCACTATGTTCTAAAACATGCTGCTTATGAAGGTAGGGTATTTCAGGAATTCATATTTACAAAATGATTATGACTCCTTTCAGGAGTCACTTACTTTTTTTAAGTTAGATTCTTATTGTGGATTTATGTTATTATTTTCAGTTAAGTCTGTTTTCAAATATTTTTTGGCAGTGGGGCAATTAAAGAGGGTTCTCACTGTAGTATCATTGAGGAACTCGTTACTACCCTAACTAGAAGTGCTATTAAAATTCTGTTGTCAGCTTCCAGAAACAGTTGGAATGAGGGAAATATTCACTAATATGTTGATACTAATATTTTTAGGAGGTGAAAGCCCTAACATTTATATTCTTTATATAAACTGTCCCCAATTGCTCTTCGTTGTTTCACCAAAATATTTTTAGCTCTTCTTCCTGTCGACTGCAAACTCTTAATTCAGTAGTCCATCTGAAATGATGACATACTTACTGGCTCTGAGAATGTTCTCCTTGCTGCTGCACCTGGACTGGACCTGCAGAGAGAGCATAAACTCAGTAATTTAGGGCTCATAACATAGATAGCCAGATATGTATGCATACTTAATGGGCAAGCTCCTGAGGTTTAGGAGCAAAGGCTTAATATATCTCAGATATCATAACATATTAGTAAAAATATATTATATTTGTTTCATATTTTTTCCTTACTATAAAGAAAGAGCAGACTTCTAGAAAAAAATTGGGGGTACATTATAAATGGGACAGAAGCAAAACCAAAGGCAATTTTTTTTATTGATGTACATTGAAATTAGTATATGGAAAAAAATAAGTTACCACATATTCAGCTATGAATACAGACCCCTAATCTTAAGGCACTGTGATAGCTCTTGACTAGATTAGTAAGGTAATTCAAGTAATAAAGTTATAATAAAATACTCCATTGTAGTAATTTTTAATTATACATGTTGATAAGTGGAAAACAGAAATCCTCTATACAATATTTATGTGTGATTCCAATGACTTATTTACTTATTAAAATAATTGGTTATAAATAAAATATGGGCAATGAAAGATGCCTGTGTTGGAAATCAATAAAATTGAACTCATTTATTTATCAGTTCTTAGGTGTTTATATAGAGTTTATCAATCAGAAACCCTTATGCTTTGATTCAAATAGTTTAGGTCAAAGCGGAACATTCTTTTAAATGTTATAAGTGTTGAATTCAAGAGCCACGTTGGATGGCACTAACATTTGTTAATATCAGAGGAAATTGTACTTAAACTGCACACCTCTTCTTCCCACTCCACAGCAGCTTGCCCCAAATGGATATATATACACAACATATTAATTTCTATTGCTTAACACAATCTACTATTGTAATGAAACAACTTATGAAAGGAATGTTGCAACTTAGGGTGGGTTATGGTTGTCCTTCCCTGAAAAGAACAATTGTTAATGTTTAAAGAAACAACAACAATAATAAAAAAAAATCACAGACATACACACAAGAAAAACACACACACACACACACACACCAAAAAAAGGGAAAAAAAGGGAAAAATAATTCCAGATGTTAAAGTTATTCTCTTTTGGCCCAGATTATTTAATTAGTTTTAAATATACTAGAATGAAGAAGCTAATCTGAAAGATAATATTCTTATATTCTTTTACTCAAAAGTTTTATTGAAAAACCATTCTGGGCCAAAGGGAAAGGAAATTAATGACTACTTGAAATAAAAATACAGGGAGGAAGACACGAGAGTGAGAAAAAGAAAAAGAAGAAAGAGAAGCTTGGGGAAGTAAGTCTAGACAATAGAAAAGAAAGTATGGGCTTACAGAAGGGGACATTATGCAAATGCAAAATGTTCTGCTATTTCTTATTGAAAATTCATACTAAGAGGGTAAGAATCACTAATGAACTTGCTGCAAAATAAATAACCAAGTTTGCACACCATGGAATGAAAATAGGTGTAACTAGACTACTACAGCCTTAAAGGAGAAAAGAAACAAACACTAATAGACAAATTAATAGACAAGCTTGATAAAGAGATAAACTACATTTTAAAAAGCAGTTTAAGGAACACAAGAGAAAGCTAACAGAGTGAGAAAAATCTGGGAGAGAGAAGAAAAAAAAGGGGAAAATGTTGAAAGACAAAAACAGAGTTCAAAGAAGTCAAATGGAAGTCAAGAAAGTCTTCAACAAGATGTAGAAACAGAAGGAGCCCAAACCCATAGCGCAAAGCAATGTTTGCGAATGGAAAGCAGCTCCTTTGATCAGTAATAGTTACTCTTAAGTCGTAGCCTCTATTCCTCCAGAGTTCATCTTTAAGCCCTTCCAATCTAGAGTGGAGCTAGTGTGTGGATAGAAACAAGAGATTTATAAAGAACAGAGCAGTTCAGATGAGTAGTTCAAATTGTCTCATCAAATGTTTCAACAGATTTATATAACATCTAAATGGAAATGGTGGTGAAGAACTAGCTAGCTTTACCAAAAAAAGTCAAACCAAACCAAAACAGCAATTTAAAAAATCCCTCTCCCTCTCCCTGCCTTAGGTGGCTTAAAAATTAAAAAAATTTGTTCATAGCATGAATTTAATGATAAAATCCCAAATCTTGCTTTGTGGTGCCTGAGTTTAGAATTATATATTTCATGGTTTGGGAAGAGAAATTTGGATGATAAAAAACAATTCAGTTTCCTGAACAAATTGCTAACAGCAGTATAACCAATGTTTTTTCATTTACATTACATTGGCTATTTGACCCAGATTGAGGGAAATCACTTAAAATCAATGATTTCATGAACTTCTTAACTTTAGTGATCTTCAGTATATATAAAAAGACTGAGGAAAATAATTTTAAGACATTTAAAATATATATGCACAAGCAGATGCCCTCTCTCTTGCATCATGAAACTGGTCATCTTTATAATATTTACCTAATTTTATAAAAATCCCAATATGAAGATTTTACCTAACTCACAATGTAATGGGATTTACTTGAAAGAATAAAGTCAAGAAACAATTACTGTTCTTGTTCTCACACATATGGACTAGAAAGAAAGTAACACAGTTCTGTCCCAAGTTTTACAGTTTACTGTTTTTTGTTTTTTTAATCTTACCCTGGCTTTTTAGTCAATGGAAAAAAAAAACAAAGGGAAGTCTGAAAAACAAAATGAAAGGTATGGTACTGGATTACCTCTTACTTTATTTTATTGATTATGTTTTTTACTATAATTAAAATCTAACTTTATGGTGTTAACAATTCCCCTTTCAGCTGGAATTAAACTAAAATAATGTGCAGAAACAGCATTATTACATTACAGTCAGTGGAGGAAATGAAAAACACAAGAGACCTACTGAAAACATAGGTATTCATTTACTAATCAAGACTGCTTTCAGACATCAAATAATTCATTTAATTCATTTCAACATGTGTTTACATGTGTAATATAATTTTTGCTGAAGATCACATTGTCCAGTAAGAAATCTTAAGCCATGAAACAGAAAACAAAAGAGGGGAAAGCATGTAATAAATGGTAAGGAAAAAAGTGAAAATTCTTTAAACAAAGCTGAGAAAATATTAGCAAACAACCACAATCTTTAGATACAGTTAGAGAAGTGACTTACCTTATGCTTAGGTCATAACAAGAATAGCACAGTGTTTAAAGTCAGCTCTTCATTATGGGAGGTACAATTGAAAGCCATAGGTTATAATAACATGAATTGCTATACAGAAATGAAGACTTTTTCAGCCCAACATGAAAAGCTAACTCTTATGGGACAACATTTCTACTTATGTTCAATGCAGCATGAAGAACAACTAAGGGTGTAAACATCAAAACACATGAATCTCACACCAGTAAGAGAGACTGTCCAATCTCTCAGGAACACAGAAGATTTAATCTGTGACCATAACCTGTGACACATAAGGGAAGGCACATCACTCTAACACTGAAAGATGCATGCATAATGTATAAACATCCACCGACAACTCTCCCCACCCCCTCCCACTCGTACACACACAAGCCCATTAAGATACAGGGAAAAAATGTAGTGCCAAGCTGTTATGAAGAAAGCAGGACACAAGGAAGCGCAGCAGTGGTCATGTGCTTTGAGAGGTGTTCTTCCCTTAAACCATCCCATCACCATGCTTATTTTAAAGAAGCCAGGAAAAGACCCCTTCAATGCTGCAGTAGCTACGAGCCCCCAGCTTGAAGCTAATGTGTGGAATTTCAATCACCGTTCCCTGCGATGTCAGGGGCTCTCCAGTGGAAGCCAGATGTATAACACCAGTTAGTGGGGTACAATGTGTGAATAACAAACATCCTTTCCCTTCTGCCTTTTGCAGAAGTGAGGGAGGAGAGAAACAAATAAAATAAATAAAGCCCATGTTAAGAATAGGTTCATAACAATATAAGATGTATAAATATTAAAATGGAGATTACATTTGATTGCCGGTTAACACAACTCAGGTTTAAAACTGCTTCTATTTTGCTGCTCACCAGGCTAAATTGTATTCTTTCTCCTTGCAAATATTAGGGATAATTCTATACAATATGGTTCATACTGAAAAATTCTGAGCAGTTGGGTCAGATGGGGTCAAACAAGAACAAAGGAAGTCATCTTTGATAGACATTAAAGAAAGCCCTGTTTCTATTTTTAGCATGATTGTACTGGCCAGCAGTCACATTTTTAAATTAGAAATTAAGCTTCTGTATATCTGCTTACTTACTAATTTGAGAAATTCTATGGCAATGGTTTGGAAAGGCAATTTAATCTTAATCTTCTTACATTTAAAAAAAGAAACAACAAAAAAGATTATCTATTTAGAAATTGTTACTAAGTTTCCTATGTACTCTTCTCTACTGTCAATAAAACTTATTTTAACATGAGTTGTTCCAGCTCATTAGAAAAAAATTTCAACTTTGCTTTTCTATTATTCATGATAGTAGTTAACTTCATCCATTTTATTTTTTGGTTTATGTGTGGCATGCAATTTAGTTAGATTTTTAATTTTTTTTTTTTAGATTTTTAATTTTTAAAGATTATTATATTACCATTTTCTCTCCTTCATCCTATTCTTAGTAGGCCAGAATATCTTGACCTTTGTTCTGTGTTGTATGATTTTAGTTAAGCTATCTTGACTAAAATCATACAACACAGAACAAACTTCTTTGAATACCATTTACTCATCAAAATAAAACTTAAGATAGAGAAAAAGGACCTCATCGGCATTTACTTAGATTACTTGCCTCTTTAGCCTACCCAGAAACAGAAGGAAAGAAAGGTTTGATTTAAACATTAAGCCAACAACTCTACAATCTCAGACTTTTAAATTCTATTTCTTTATCTTCTCAATTCTTATATAAAAAATTGAGAATGATTTAGAAAAGCTTTTTCCATAGTTCCATTCATTCATCATTTTATCTGGATAAATTAGGGTACAAATATTTGGCTCATCTGAGCATAATGACAATTCATTTGTGTTTAATCAGATTTATGTTATCACAACACATATTCAACTGAGGAACTCAGA